TTACCTCGTTTCAGGTTGGACCAGTCCATTGCTCATCGTCGTCTACTTCGACTTCGCAGACGTTTTACCCATCATCTTCGGGGGGCCATGCCGCCTGTGATCCGCTACTCCCTCGCCATCATAGGGGTCTTGCGGTTGCTGCGGCTGATGGCGTTGCGCGCGCGGTGGCGAATGGATTGTCACCATATATCGACGCCCTTTCCTAGATATCCACTGCGGCCACCACGGAGGAACAGAAAGCGAGGAGAGCTGCACGTCGTCAGTGGCAGGAGAAGTTTGCCGAATGGCCGTCTCAGGTCTGGAGGGTGGCGACCCCTATGTTTAGTCAGGTGGGTCCTGCTCCTGCGATGCCCGTTGCTGCTACGCGTCAACAATGGGCTGAGCAGTGGTGCCCCGTGGACAACAATGCAGCTACACGTGCGACAAATTGGAAGAGGCATGCGGCTGGTGCCAGTTTCCCTCAGCCCTCGAAAGACAAAGGTTGGTTTCCTTCCCGTGGCGCCTTATGATGAGGCCATCCTCAAATCCAAGGGCTGCCCTGGCTTGAATGGCTGGAGCCACCGTGAACTTCGATTGCCTCGTGAGCTGTACCTTGTCATTATTGATGAACTCTATGCTCTTTGTGTCGCTACGTCCAGAGAGTGTGTTGAATGTGCTGGGAAGCTCGGCTCGGACTTGCTCGATTTCGTGTTCGGGTGGAGGGTCGCGGGCCCCCCTAAAGGTGAGAATGACGCCAGACCCTTGTCAGTGGGTTCGGTACTTCTGCGTTCTTGGCTTCGTGCTCTTGCGAAGGCCGCTCCTGTTCCTCCTGGGAATCAGTGGGCAAACAGGGCCTGCGCGAGCGTGACGCATGCAGTTACTTCCTGGCTTTTTCAATGTAGCGAGGGCACCGACGGCGCGGAGCTTGACTTGAGCCGCGCCTACGACAACATTCACCGCGACATCGCCATCGAGGCTCTCAAGGCCTCTGCGATGCCCGACATGATGATCTACACTTGTGCTGCTGCGTGGGCAGGTCCACGCCACTGCTCGATTGCGAATGACCTGTCTTCCCCTGTATACCCCACCAGTGGGTTACCACAAGGGGACAGCACGGCACCTGCTTCAATGATTGCCACTTTGGCTCCCTGGCAGCCGCCCGGAGGCAGCAGTTGCTACATGGACGACCGCTCCCTCGTCGCAGACAGTGCCCAGAGCCTCCAGCGCGACCTGAAGCTCACCACGGATTTCGACGACAACGTGGGGTTCGCGGGGAACAGGGCTAAACGTCAACTTTGGTCCCGTACGAATGCTGATCAACAACAGGTGGAACACTTGGGTGTGCTGGCGGTGCCTACGGATACGACTATTCAGATTTTACCGAGACAGCGCTGGGATAAGGTGTTGTGTGCTATCTCCATATTGGCCGCGATCCCAGGTTCTGCGCTGGTACGTACTCGTTTGGCATATGCGTATATCAAGCCTCTTTGGATTTGGGCGAGCCCTGTGGTGGTCCCACCGCCCATGGAGCTAGCCACGAAGCTCGCCAGAGCCATCTGGCGAACCAACTGCGACTGGTGGTGTTAAGGCCGCTATTGGTTACAAAATATATTGTTGCATCCGGCTTTCAGTGCTGCCATCAAAGCTTTCGAGACCATCGGGGACGAGAAGTTAGTATGGTCACCCTTCTTGGATACTTCAATGTCTGCTCATGCTTCGGCTTTGGGTTTACGTTTCATACGATATTCTAAACAACGTGGGTGCCTGGTTGAGGTATTGCCTATGCCAGAACATCGAGCTCGATTGGCGGTCGAGCACCTAGTTGACGACTATTGGCGTTTCTGGACCTGTGGCTCCCCTGACTACAACAGGCGAGTCCAGCATGCGTTGAGATTGCTGGCCAGAATCAAGTGTATGCAGATGGTCAACCCCCGCCGCCAGGATGCGGATGACATCAGTGAGGTTGATATCGATGCATGTTCTTCGAAGCTCTTTGCGAAATGGTTTCGCACTTTGTCTCCACATGAACGCCTGGGTTTGTCTATCTACAGGTCGGGTGCAACGACCTCGGAGACCAGGCGCCAGTCAGGTCATGCTTGTCGCTTCTGTGGCGAGCCTTTCCCCAGTGTCAAACATCTTGTGACCGAATGTTCGGGCTACGACATCCAACGGGCCCAGCTTAACGACAAATATCAGTTACCCAACGGCTTTTGGACGTCATTGCCGAGATGTTCGTCAAAGTCGGGGTGGATCACGTATGCTGCCAGTGACTGCAGCTTTGAGCGTGCTCGTTTGCTGGTGGCCCTCTGCTCTTTGGGGGTCTGCATAGCGACACAGAGCCTTGACGAACGATTGGTGGACGCAGGTGCTATTCGGGCCCGTGCTCGTACTGGCCGTCGTCCAACCAGAAATTGATTTTCGAACTGTGCATCTACCTCATAGTTAAGGTGTTGTACTTCATCAGTCCCCCGGCCCCTGATGTCATGAGGGAAGTCCCACTGGCTCACCCCCGAATAGAATAAAGGGCACCAATTTAACTCTATTCGGAAGTGGTCGGCCTGTATGAGGTGCCTCAAAAGCACCAGTAAATAAACCCGACAATCAAATTTTGATTGTGCGGGCCGCAATGCACTGGCCTCTGAGCCTCAAGGTCACGCGTTATTTGTGACAACCACTCCTGATGGAGTTATTGTTGTTTGCATTAGTTGCGAATGCATTTCGTAAGTGTGCCGCGTCGGCAAACATAGGAGGACTTTCAGAGACAGGCCCATCAAAACAAATACTAAATCCAATTTGAGACGAACATGAAAACGAACGCCCATCCTTCATGTGTGAGAAAAAGAAATGGTTCCGGAAGAGCTAGTCCGATAGACGCCTTCTCAGTTCTTGGCCTGCCTCGTTCTTGAGAGACCGAATAGACACTGACGCCATCGTTGTTCCAGCGGCGCGATGGGCTTCTTCCACATATGAAAGCGCAAGTAGGTGGCTTCAACGCTGCCCAATTTGGCTCCAAGACGGCCAAGACTCCACAAACACACATACACACACTCACACACACACACACACACACACGCACACAGACACACAGACACACAGACACACAGATATACAGACACACAGACACACACACAGACACACACAGACACACACACACAAACATACACAAACACAAACACAAACACACACACACAAACACACACACACACACACGCGCGCGAGTGCGTAGTGCGGGTGCTGCGGACGTTGAAAGTGTCAGGGCCAGCGCGCTCTCACGCGCATTCCTACAGCCATTGGTGTTCCAGGTGGCCGCGGCGACGAATGATCGACACGCGCTGTCCATTGCAGCAGCAAGTTGTGGGCATGCCGCAGGTGACACAACACGCCAACATAATCAAATCCCACCAGCCCTTCAAGGCGGAGGTGGTTTAGAGAGTTTCCTACTCCAACCCCCTTCTCCCCCTTTCGGGGAAAGGTTTACCCCTGCCTCTACCCCACACCCCCCTGGACCTGAACGGGGAATTTCGCGAGCGATCTGAAGGTCCTCCTTCGCCCAAGGTGGATCCACGAGGGCCACCGAGAGCTCAAGATGAGCGTCGTCGTCGTCGTCGCCGCCGCCACCGTCGTCGTCGTCATCGTCATCGTCATCATCGTCGTCGTCGTCGCCATCGTCGCCGTCGTCGTCGTCGCCGTCTTCGTCGTTGTCGTGGCCGTCACCGTCATCGTCGACGTCGTCGTCGTCGCGTGTGTGTGGGTGATTGAGCAACTGAGCAAGTATAAGAGTGAACGCAACGACGAAATGGAGAGAGAGAGAGAGAGAGAGAGGAAGGGAGAGAGAAACAAAAGAGAACGACATAAAGAGAGAGAGGGAGAGAGAGAAAGAGAGAGAGAGAGATAGATAATGATATAATATCTAGAGAATATAATAATGATGACAATGGCACAGACGAGGACTTCTCCTCCTCCTTTCTCCTCCTGTATGCTCCTCCTCCTTCTCCTTCTCCTCCTCCTCATCCGCCGCCTCCTTATCCTCCTCCACCTTTTCCCCTTCTCCTCCTCCTCCTCCTCATCATCCCCCTCCTCCTCCAACTATTCTATCTCTTCCTCCTCCTCGGCTTTCTGCTTGTCCCCATCCTACTCCCCCACCACCTCGTTGTTCTCCTCCTCCTCGGCCTCCTCCGTCTCCCCCTTCTCTTCCTCCTCCTCCTCCTTCACCTCCTCCTCCTACTCATCATCATCATCATCATCATCATCATCATCATCATCATCATCATCATCATCATCATCGTCATCACCTCCACCATCATCATCATCACCATTATCATCATAATCGTTGTCGTAGTCACAATCATCATCAACGTCACCATGACGATCCCCATCAACATCACCATCATCACCATCGTCACCATCATCACCATCATCGCCATCAGCATCATAATCAGCATCAGCGTCACCATCAGCGTCACCATCACCATCACCATCAACATCACCATCACCATCAGCATCACCATCACCATCAGCATCAGCGTCACCATCAGCATCAGCGTCACCATCAGCATCACCATCAGCATCAGCGTCACCATCAGCATCAGCATCACCATCAGCATCACCATCAGCATCAGCATCATCAGCAGCACCACCATCATCATCATCATCATCAGCATCATCATAATCATCATCAGCATCAACATGCTCATGATGACCTTGATGGCCACGATGGTCATGATGATCATGATGATCAGCATCATCGTCACCATCATCACCATCATCATCATCACCACCACCACCACCAACAACACCATCACAAGCTTCCTCCTCATCCTCACAATCGTCAGCCTCTGTGCCCCTGCGCGGAGTGGACGTGTTCTCAGCCCCCTTGGCTGTCCCCGGAGCCTCAGACCTTGACCCAGAAGGATCAAAAGGCCGGGACCCGTACCTTGCAAAACATGCACCGCTCTCTCCCCCTCTTGCGGTTTCATCACGGCGACCGCCGTTGGGCAGGCGGCCCTCTGCATCAAATGGACGACGTCCGCGGCGCCGCCGCCGCTCTGGCGGAAGGCCGCTCCTGCGCGTAGCCGCAGCACGCACTGCCCGGGGGGGGGGTGCCTGGCGGCGACCCCCGAGCGCCGGAGGCGCGCCGCCGCCCGCCGCCCGCCTCACCTGGAAGGCAGCGGCCGGGCGCCCAGGTCGCACGGAGGCGCCGCGGGCCCGAGTGCCTTCGCCCTCCCCGGCCCTGGGGCGGTGGCCGCAATTCGCGCAGGCAAGCTCCTCCTCCTCCTCCTCCTTTTCTTCGTCTTCTTCCTCCTCCTCCTCCGCTTCCTCTTCCTCCTCCTCCTCCTCCTCCTCCTCCTCCTCCTCCTCCCCTGAGACGAAGCCAGGGCGATGAAATCGACCACCTCTGAGATCCGCCGAATCTGGATGATGTCTCGGACGCCCCGACCTTTTCAGAGCGTTCCGAAACGCTCTGAGAGCGTTCCGGAACGCTCTGGAATGGATTTATCCTCGTCCTAGCCCCGTCTCATCCCCTCCTCCTCTCCTTGCTCCTCCCCGTCCTGCCATTCCGTCTCCTCACAAATAACTCCTCCCTGTCGCACCCCGAGGCGTGTGGGTAGGGCAGGCCAGGCAGTTCGCCTTAAGCTGACAATTTTCGACAACTTCACGGATGGAGGGCAAGTGGTTCTTCAAAATGTGGCTGTCGCTTTAGCGCCGCGCACGTTCGCATGACAAATTTGCAAGAATTTCACGGATGGAAGGCGGGTGGTTTTCAAAATGTCGCTATCGCCTCAGCGATGCGCACATTCGCCTGAGAAATTTGCGAGGGTTTCACGGATCGAGGGGGTGGTTTTCAAAATGTGGCTCGCGCCTCAGAGCCGCGTCCATTCGTCTTGAAAGACTGCAAGAACTGTGCGGATGGAGGGCGGTACTTTTTCAACATGTGGCTCTCGAATTAGCGCCGCGCGCATTCGTCTGAAGAATTCACAATGCTGTCAAGGACTGTTTTGGTTGACGTCTCCCAAACTATGTTTCGGCACGGTGTAGGACCTGTCAGGGCGCAACAGTCAGGTTGATTTGCGGAGTTTTGAGGTCCCAGAACTGGCGTCCTGGAACGATTCAGGATCGTCAGGGCGCAACAGGCATCAGGAATGGTGTTCTAGCGCGGTTCCAAATTTTCTGACGGTTCTCTTCCATGCCTTGTCGACGCGGCGACGCCACCAGCGCGGGCATTAAATGTTGAATGCCACCAGTGGCCCAGAATCGGCCAATATGGAACGATCTGGCGATCGAGAAGCCACCGATCATTCAGGGTTGAACGAGGAGGAGGAGGAGTTGGAGGAGGAGGGGGAGGAGGATGAGGATGGGAAGGGGGAGGAGGGTGCTTCCCCCAGTGAAACTGAACCCTTGTAGCGAACTTTGAGAATTTATGGTAACATCGTGGATGGGTCGGGGGATTGCACCGGTCCTCCTCCTCCTCCTCCTCCTCCTCCTCCTCCTCCTCCTCCTCCTCCTCCTCCCCCTTCCCATCCTCATCCTCCTCCCCCTCCTCCTCCTCCAACTCCTCCTCCTCCTCGTTCAACCCTGAATGATCGGTGGCTTCTCGATCGCCAGATCGTTCCATATTGGCCGATTCTGGGCCACTGGTGGCATTCAACCTTTAATGCCCGCGCTGGCGTCGCCGCCGCGTCGACAAGGCACGGGCCCAACATACTGCAACCCTGGGCATGCAGCCAGGCATCGTCCTGGCCCCTAGGGAGAGGAAGAGGATGCAGAATGAAAGAAGAAAAGTCCCCAAGCGCCCACCCGTGACTGAACTGGAGACGGCCCGAAAATCGCCTCGTTTGCCACCCGCGCGACGAGCTTGCCTACACGTATCCGTCCTCGCAAAGGGCGACCAGAAGAACGCGTACGCATACATCAAGATGCGGCTAGCTTCCTGGACCCAGAGATCCGACGCTCCAAACAAATTGCAACGGCGGGACTTTGGCAGTTTCTGGCCTTCACGGGCCCTCGCCGGCCCCTCGGGAACAGCAAAAAACGACCCAGGGCGAAGAACTGGCCCCGGGGAAGTGGTCCAGACCCGCGGGGACCACGCGCAGAAAAAATGGGAGCGGCTGGACGTCCGGGGAGGCACGCCGGAGCTGCAGGTCCTCTTCCTTCTGCCCCCCCGCCCCCCGCTGTCGTTCGGCGAAGCGGAGGACCGCCGCCCCTTTTCCCCGCCGCTGCTGCCACTGCCGCGATGCGTCTGGTGGGCGGAGGAGGAGGAGGAGGAGGAGGAGGAGGAGGAGGAGGGAGGAGGAGGGAGGAGGAGGGAGGAGGAGGGAGGAGGAGGAGGAGGAGGAGGAGGAGGAGGAGGAGGGAGGGAGGAGGGAGGAGGGAGGAGGGAGGAGGGAGGAGGGAGGAGGGAGGAGGCCCGTTGGCCCCCGCGCTCCGATGTGCTCGTGCGCGCACCGCGCGTCGCCGCTGGTAGCGACTCGTCCTTCTTCTCCCGAGCCTCCTTCTGCTGCTCTTCCTCTCCCCTGTGTTTCGTTACATTCCCTCCACTTCTCATCATCATCCTGCTCGTCCTCACGTCTCATGTTCAGTCTCATCGTCGTCGTCAGCACCGCCGTCTTGCTTGTCAGCTGTCAGCATAACATGTTTTCAACACCCTGCTCTATTGCTTTACTTATTCCGACCGTCCTTATTCCTGCGCGTGCACATCCAACGACTACCACATTCACGTGCGCACGCATGCGCTACAGCTGTGTCGCAGCGCGCGCGCTGTCATCTCCGCTCTCTCCAGCAGCAGCGGAGGAGGCCTGCTGTACTTTTCACCACACACCGTTATGACCGAGCCGCTGGTCGACACTCTCTCGGACTGGCTCTGTACCCGCACCGCATCATTTTGAGTTACGAGTAGCGCCACGACTTGCTGAATTTGCATGATAGACAGATCCGCAGAGTACTGAAAGAGAATATTCATCGGTCGCACGTGGCCCTCGGCATGCCTCCGTGCTCTCGTGAGCCAATGTGGAAACATCAAACGACGTGATGCGATGACGACGTCATCCGTTGCCCCCCAGCACTCCCATCCCCGTGCTGTGGCAGCAACGAGGGTGTGAGGCGGCCAGCTAGGAGGCGGAGGAGGAGGACGAAGAGAAAGAGAGGAAATGGAGGATTAGGAGAAAGATGGTGAATAAGAGGAGGATGGTGAAGAGGAGGAGGAAGAGGAGGAGGAGGAGGAGGAGGGAGGGAGGGAGGGGGAGGGGGAGGAGGAGGAGGAAGGGAGGAGGAGGAGGAGGAGGATGAGGAGGAGGAGGAGGAGGAGGATCAGGAGGAGGAGGATCAGGAGGAGGAGGAGGAAAAGGACACCATCCACTTGTCCAACGCTCTCGACCCCACCTCTGTGCGACGTGTCTCGAACCGACTCGACCGTGGAGGCCCTCCGGAACACGCACGCGCCCGGATCTGGGGAGCACGCTCGGGGGAGGAGGCCGTCGTCCGTCCGCCGCTGCCCCGAGGGAACTCCCCGCCCCTTCCCGCGGCGGCGCCGTGGGCGTGAGGCAGCGGTCGGGGGCTGGCGCCGCCAAGCAACCTGGTCTCGTCGACTGCCCCTCCCGATCCCTTCCTCCCTCGCTTCCTCGCTCCTTCCCTCCCGCTTCCCTCCCTCCGCCCGCCCCCCCCTCCCCCCAGCCCACCTCCCGCTTCCTCCCCCCCATCACTCTTGGGATTGCGATGATCCTGGTGATTTCCCTCCTTCCTCTTCTGTCACTCCGTCCCCCCCTCCGCCCCCTCCTTTTGGGGAAACGAAGAGATACCGATACCGCTCCTCCCTGGACCTCTCCTGGGGTGCGTTCCGACCAGAATCTCTAAGCGAATCCAGCCGTGGCGACGAGGGCTCTCGAGGATGAGCAGCGGCATCGGAATATTTTCCTCCTTTGACCCCCCTCCTCTCTCTCCCTCTCTCCCTCCCTCTCCGTCCTCCTTCACCTCCTTCGGCGCGGCACGTCGGCAGAGTGCGCACCCGCAGCGTTGATCGCGGGCGCCCTCGCGGGCTCAGGTCTCCGACGCGCGCCCGCTCAGGAGTGGAGGAGGAGGGGGAGGAGGAGGAGGAGGAGGAGGAGGAGGAGGAGGAGGAGGCGAGGAGGAGGAGGAGGAGGAGGAGGAGGAGGAGGAGGAGGAGGAGGAGGAGGAGGAGGAGGAGGAGGAGGAGGAGGAGGGGGAGGAGGAGGAGGAGGAGGAGGAGGAGAAGGAGGAGGCGGGGGGCGCTCTGGGGCATGCTCGGCGCCCCACTGTAGAACGAGAAGGACGTCGTGACGCAATCGGCTCCGTGCGAGAAAGGGGGCCTCTGCACCGTGCCCAGACCCCCTCGGGACCACGAGAAACTCACGACGGACAGCTCTTCGCTACTTTCGGCCTACGGGGGCACCGCCGAAACGGCTTGGGCACACCGCTCACACGTTTCGTGGCCTCATAAAAGGGTGGCGAAGCGAGGTGCGGCGAGGCGCCGGTCAGCCGTCCTGGCGGGGACGGCCCTTCGAGAGCCCGGCGGTGGCGCCGGAACGCCGTGAACGAACCTCAGTCGAGGGGGGAGGGGGGAGGAGGAGGGACTCAGACCGTGAAGCTAGGGCTCCCAACTTCGCGCTTCGCGCTCCGCGAAGCGCGAATAACTTCGCGCTCTCGCGCCGCCCTCCCAAAGGGAGAATAGGAGGACGAGGAGGAGGGGGAGAAGGAACGAGGACCGCGAAGCGCGAAGCGCGAATAACTTCGCGCCCTCGAGGGAGCCCTGAAGTGGGATCTGGGCACACATTCCCCAGAATTGACACGAGCCAGACATTTCGGCTCCGACGCCGACCATGCTTGCTTGTCCGTCGCAATGTGTATCCACCTTCTGTGGTCGTCGTCTCCCTCGTGTGTGGTGGCTGTGCGTGCGAATTGTGTGATTTCGGTATCCCATCTTTTCCGTTGTCCTCCGTGGCGTCGTCGGGTTTGGCGTGGGTCGTGGGCGTTCGGGCCCCATTGTAGTGAGAGCCGCGTCCATCTGTCGTAGTCGTGGGTTGCGACGCGCGATGCCCACCGCCACTTCCGTGTGAAGTATACCGCAGGCCAGTGCTCTACGCCTGCGCGCCGAGCATGCTCTAGGGCTGCGTGCGTCGACCTTCGTATGAATTCATCCCATGGTTCCAACCCGTCGTCGTCTTCTCTGTCGTCGGCTTTGTCGTGGTGGATGGGGGAGTCTGCTGCGTCGGCGCTGGTCGCTTCGTTGGTGTCAGTGTCGCGAGCGCGGTTCTGTATATTGCGACGTCTTGGCATCCCGACGACAAGCCTGAGCATCCTCCGCTGTGCACGCCGTAAAGTGCGAAGCATGTCGTTGGTGAGGGTCCAAGAGGAGCGCCCGTACATCACTGATGCTGTGATTGTTCCGTTGAACAGCCTCAGTCGATTGTGGAGTGGGAAACGCTTGTGTGTCAGCTCGTATCTTAATTGGTTGAAGCGGCCCCATCCTGCGGCAATCCTATTGCGTAGTTCTGTCTCGCGGAAGTCGGGGAAAATAAACTTCCTTCCTAAATACTTCGTAATCTGGTCGGATCGCAATGTTTCGATGCGTTCGCCGTTGATGTCGACATGAGAAATGGTTCTCCCCTCTTTCCGGCTGACGTTCGTCAAGATCTTGGTCTTGTCCGGGTGCAGTGCCAAACCGCATGTCTGGGCTTGGGATTGTACATCTCGGAGCACGCAAGAACATTGTCGTAAATTGGGGGCGTAGAGCAAGACATCGTCGGCGAAACGTAGATTTGTGATCCGTGCTAGTGGCGCGAAGCCTAGTTGGATCACGATGTTCTTGCGCTGCCACTCAGGTTTCATTTGTCTGAACACCTGCTCGAGGACAACATTGAACAAGAAAGAGCTCAGTGGGTCTCCCTGTTTCACGCCACGTTCGATACTGAAAGCCCTGCTGGTGGTGTCTGTCCTGACTGTTGCCGTTTGGGTGCAGTACAACTGTTTGAAGAAGCTTATGTGTGCAGGAGGTATGTGCTGTTCTCGCAAAGCTTCCCATCATTGCTCGTGGTCTACACAGTCGAACGCCTTCTTAAAGTCGATTGCTGCTGCCCGCAGCGGTAGCTGCCACTCGTAGGGACCCTCATGTAGCATGGCAATGGTGAACAGGTGGTCCTCCGTGCAATAATCCTTCCGGAAGCCTGCTTGGTCAGGGCACTGTTGCGAGTCGAACAGAGAATTCAGACGGTTGCAAAGGAGGCGAGACACCAATTTGTAGAGCACTGGGGTAATTGCAATCGGTCTGCAATTGCCTGGGAGTTGTGGGTCTCCTGATGTGTAAAGTACGGTGATTGTGGTGGTCTTCCACTGGTCCAGTGGTGTCTGATTAGGTTTGCTGATGTCGTTGTAGAGTCGGAGTAGGTGATGTTGTATGGTGGCGCCCCCAGCTTTGAGCATTTCTGCTGTGAGTCCCGCGGTGTCTTTGCATTTGTCGCTCTTGAGTTGTTTGATTGCTTGCTGGAATTCGGTTGCGGTGAAAGGTGGAATGGTTGAATCGTGCTGAATTGTCGTTGGGGTGTCGCGGAAGATGTCTGAACGGTGCGGATTCTTGTATAGCTCCTCGTAGAAGGTTGCGAATACGTCTGCTATGCTTTGCCTGTGTCTCCTCAGTGCCATCAAGTATATTCGTTGATGCAATGAGCTCTTTGGCTTGATGGTTCTAATCCTGCTATTCTCTTTCGGCTTTTGAATTGGCAAACGATGTGTTCGAGCTTGGCGTTCAATTCATTGCGTTTGATGGCCCTTGTCTGCCGCATGACTTGCTTGAGCCGTGCTGTCGGACCGTCGTCGGGGATATCCGGAAGGTCTCTGGTGCTTTTCTCGTGGTGCTTCTGGTAGTCCTTGTTTGCAAGCTTGAGCCCTTCTCCGATGTCCCGGCATCTGCTGTCCAGGTCGGCGTCGTGGTGCTGGTTTGCCAGATGCTCTTGAAGGCACTGCTGGAAGAGAGGGTCGTCAGCTGCAGGTTGGGAGCGCCTGTGGTGGCGCGCTTGCTTGTGTCCCCTCTTCCTTCTCGCCGTAGTCCTGAATGCCAACTTGATGTGCACTGCTTGGTGGTCGGGGCCGAGATCTGGGACGTTGGAGGCAAACGAATCAATCACCTGGTTGCGACGTGCTCTGTCTATCAGGATGTAGCCAATTTGTGTCTGAGTCAGCTGTTAGTCACTGTTCGTGTAAGTGACAAGGTTGTGGTGGTGCTTGTAGAAGAGAATGTTTGCAATGATCATCTTACGTGTGCTAGATCAAGTACGGAGCCATGTTCCTCGCGGGTTACACGTGCCCAGACCGAACTTGCCTACCGTGCTCCTCCGGTTCAAGGTCTCGGATCGTTTGTCGTCGTCTTTGCCGCCGTTATTGTCAAGGTGTCTACCAACCTGTGCATTGAAATCCCCGTCATGATGCATGTCCACTTGTCTTGGATAGCGGCGGCGTGCAATGAATCCAGATGGTCATACATGTGCTGGATGTGAATGTCTGCGTATCCGGAGTGAGGGAAATACGCCGTCACGACTTTCATGTTCTGTTCTGGGATGTCGATGTCGATGTAGGCGATTCGCTCGTTGACGGCCCCGAAGCATCTGACATGCCGGACGCGTTGCCTATGAACGAGAAATGCAACCCCTCGCGACGTGTCTGTGTGGCCGGATGCTGCAAACAAATGGCTTCCACATCTCGCGAGATTCAGTTCTCCAGGTCTCGTTGATAGCAACAACATCCCAATGTACGTCATTCAATTCATGCAACAACTCGTCTATGGAATCGTCCGTTGTAAGACTTCGCACATTCGTGTGGATAATGGTAAATGATTGGGGTGACGATGGATGTGATGCTCGATTTTGCTGATTGTGCTCTTTCTCGTCGCCGTCGTTGTTTTCCCGTGGGCGATTTCGGCGCATGCTGATGGGAACGTCGCCATCCGCCGTGCTATGTCTTCCTCGTCCTCCTCCAATGCTTCGTGAATTGGACTGAGTAGGTGGAAGCGTGGAGTCGGGTGACGGAGGCTGAAGGTCGGAATGCTGTGATGGCACTGGCTGGACGTCGATTCGTGGAGGTGGAAGTGGGAAGTTGGATGTTGAAGGCCGGTGGTCGGGGTGCTGAGTTGGTGCAGGCTGGATGTCGATAGATGGAAGTGTTGTTGTGGACTCAGTTGCTGGAGGCTGGTGGTCGACAGGTGGAGGTGGAGGTGGAAAGTCGGATGCTTGAGGCTGGAGGTCGGTGTGCAGAGCTGGTTGACGCTGGGAGGTCGACAGGTGTAGGTGGAAGTGGAAAGTCGGCTTCTGGAGGGTGGACGTCGGGGTGCTGAGCTGGTTGACGCCGCAGGTCGATGAAAGGAGGCGAGGGTGGCACGTCACCTGCCGCTGGAGGCGGGGGGTCGGAGCGCGGGGCGGCTGGACGCTGGACGTCGATAGGCGGAGGTGGAGGTGGAAGCTTGGATGCTGTAGGCTGGAGGTCGGAGTGCGGAGCTGGTCGACGCTGGAGGTCGGTGGGTGGAGATGGAGGTGGAAAGTCACATACACCCTGCGAAATGCTTAAGAAATC